TATGGGACAGTTATGCTTTTATGGGCAGAAAAGGAAGGGATCAAAATCCGAACCTCCAGTTAGTGTCAAAAACCACAGTGAAGGATACATTTATTCATACTATCAGGCCGCCATTACCGAGCATGGAAAGCTGGATAGACTGCCTCCAACTTTGTTAGTTTAGGTTGATAATCCGAATTTTGGCCCCATAAATTAAAGGCTAATTTCTCGGCCTGCTGATTGCTTGGATGTGTGTTCTCTAGAATGGGTTACCTTAATTCAAAAAAACATTGCAATATCTTAGTTAACTATTCAATAATTGAGTAATTGTATGCTGATTTGGGTGAAATTTACCAAAAATCGCCTAAGTTATGCACTTTTAATTAAATTCGCCAACAACAAATCACAACAACAACAGTCTCAAATCTCAAGGGCCTCGCATAGAACTGGAATATTCTATGATTAAATAAGCTTGAGCGTTCCATTTTTAACGTGCTGCTTGGTAGACTCATCAAGCAAAGCTAAAGATGGTCCAAAATATTTGCAAGCGAATGCCAATTTAGAAAAAAAAAATTAGGCCAAATATTTTTCACCTCAGAAAATCAAGAGAGTTGACTCTCATGTTTTATGGAAATGACTTTGAAATGCCTTTTGAAACCTATTTCCGTTCGAACTTAATTTTTTTTTTGGATCCAGAATCCTAGATGTCGTTACAGTGAAACAACTGTTATCTATGAACCACAAAGTTGGTCTGAGTAGGAGGAACTGAGATGAAATGAAACTTGTGTTTTGCTTTTGTGGGACGCGCACACGCTGAGTAGATAGAAGGATGATTGATGAATAATTTGATTCGATTTGATTTCCTACAAAAAGATCGAGTGCGATGCGAGTTGGTTTGAATGTGAAAAATGAAAGAAGATTTTTCGAAAATAGATTCGCAATCGTGAGATTTAGATGTGACACCCCGTTCGGTTCACTGGAATGTTATTCACCGTAGATTTTGAAGTAGAAACCCTAATTTTCGATAATCGATTCACAGAAATTTGAGTTCACTTTGCACTGGAATGCTTTTGCTGATAGAATCAACTGGGTAAAGCTGCTTAATCTTAGGGGCACTAAGATGGTGATTTTAGCTAATGTTATCACACTTATTTAAAATAGTTCCAGTGCTCCAAAATCGATGAAATATTGGATTTCGGTTCCATATTTAATGCAGATTACGAATTTGTATTTACCTCAATACCACCAAAGAACCCAATTATAGTTTAATATGTATAAAAATTACTCATTTTATAGACCCCTAGTAATCGGAACGTTTTTAGTTTGGACACTTTTCAAGTTGAACCCCGGTAATCTGAATGCCATGCAAACCAAAAATGTTGAAACGGAATGGAACGTTGTGAAACGGATAGCAGAACTGAAACAAAACAGCAAATAAGGCTACCAGAAACACGTTTTTCAGATGCTCCTAGGGTTACTAGAAGTTCAAATTAAAAATGGACACCGTTAATATGAGTGAAGTGTCGTTCGGATTCGCGGCGGTCAACGGTATTCGCGAGAAACCCGCGATTGAAGTGCACTGTTTTCAAAAGCAGTTGCGTCCTTATCTCACGAAGGGAGTGAAGTTCAGATTATCGGGGGCTACGGCAAATTTACCCAGATTTGGGTGAAACAATTTACCAACAAATCAATTTACATCCAAACTTGGGAGCATGATGTTTACCGCTATTCTGAACTTGTTCATGAGATTTGGTCGAGTCTTGGTCAGAAGTGAACCGCTACATACTAAGATCAATAAACGTAAAAAATAGGTTAAATTATCCATAGATTGTTACTTTAGTTAATAAGCTACCGAACGAAGTCAATGAGAATGCGTGATATGAAGGTTTGCACCCATTATTCTCAAAAACAAAAGAAGCGCTCCGACCAAATCAATTTTTATCTTCATCCGATTGGCCGAAGTGAATTCATTGGCGTTTCAATGCGTTAGGCCGAGTTTATAATCCGTAGGACGAGTTTGGCGTCAAGAAGCAATGTTAGACTTTTGACAATATCTCAACGATTGGCTTCTATTTATCAAATCGTACGGTACATGCGGAAAGGTAAATAAATTTAGAAGCTATCAGTAATAATAACATTCCGTTTGGTGCTAAAATGCGCTAGATTAAGAAAGACTAAGTGCGGGTTGTGCTTAATAGGCCGGAAATGGAGTAGTTAACCCTACCATATTAATTGTCGCTGAAAGATTCTTGAAACGCCTAATCCACTTTGAAACATAAAAATGGATGCAAACGAAGAGATTCTGACCAAAACAATGTCTTACAAAAACCAAAATCTAAAATCGCCAAAACGTTCTGAGAAACGCCAAAATGGTTCTAACAGATAAAAATATCATATGTAAACACCAAATTTAAAAAGAAATTAGGTATAAAGCATTCTACAGGTCTAAATCATATTCTACAGAACCCTCATAAAACCAGAACTGTTTCTTGGGAATATAGCGTTTGAAGCCCAAAAATGGCTTTAAACGCCTAATTTTGAGAATGCCAATATTATCTATAAAATTCCGAAATCACCATAAAATAGCCACAAAAAGTCCTGAAAAATGCCAAGAAGATCTCAAAAACACCAAATTATCACCAAAATGCCAGAACAATTAAATGTTCTTAAAGCGCCAAAAATCAACATGAAATTGAATTTCACGTTCATCTTTTTGGAAAATATGTTGATTTTTATACAAAAATTAAGCAACTCGTATTTAGCGTACACTCTACTTCAAAACTACTCAAATTTGGTTAGAATTAATCCAGATCGGTTAAAACTGAACCTACCCAAAAATGGGTACACTATGTTGGGAGTGACTTAACTTGTCGTTTTTGCAATAGGAGTAAAAATTTCCCAAACTAGCTCAAATTAAGTGTACCCCAATATGGTGAAAATAGTATTTGCTTGACTCAGAAATTTTTTTGCCAGCTTTTGATGCTCTTTGTGGATTTCGGGTAATCGATTCTTGTCGCGTAAGGCTTTCCCGTTTCTCTTGAAGCTTGAAGTCCAAAAGAATTACTCGTTTAGCAAATCCGTGGTGCAATTACCTGGCGCATGATCATGCTCGTCGATTATTACGATTTAATTTGTAGTCAAATATGCCAACAAAAGGCTGAAAATTGCTAAGCTACAAACAAATGCAAATATTTTGATCTTTAGTTTAAAAATCTTGTAACCCAACATTATTATCTTTTCGAAAGCTTCTTCAGGTCGGAATTTGCTTTAAAATACAACACAAGGGAAGTAAGACGAAACGATCTTAATACGCCAAAAGCATCAAAAATTGGATTTCCCAACAAACATTGAATGTTGAATAAGAGCTTATTCAGACAAAAATAAGCTTCTTCCGCAAAAAAATTGCTTATTCAACTGTTGATCAACTCAAATTGTTTGTTGGGTTGTTGGTTGGAACAGCTGGTACCTCGTTTTCTACAAGATTTTTGGAACATTTACTTAAAATTATTATAAAAACTATACCGTGAAAGACTTTTTTTCCTACACAACTTTGTCTCAGACGTCATTTCGATCAGAAATACCGTTTTCTTGCTACAATTTATGGAAAAAGTTTAATGGTATCATTTTAAAAAATAAATAAGATCCAAAATGACTGAAATTTTGCAAAAATGTGAATGATTGCCCATTACACAAAATTATGCAAAGTTTCATGCAAGTCGGAGAAGTCCGATGTAATAATTTTATGTTTTTATCCAATTTGGCCTGGAACTGGCCTTACATTTTTTATATGTGATTTAATCAATCACAGACAGACAGCTATAAAATATAGAATTCAAAAATTAAGAGCCAGAATTTGGAAAAAAAATATTACTAAGTGGACAACCTTTGTCACCTCCCTTGCATTGATAATTGAGCAATAGTTTAAAAAGAATGCCTTTATATCGAAAAACTGGATTATGAAGCTTCTTATGTTTGATTTGAAATTTGAATAATTAAATTCTAGCAAATCCCTTCGAATATTTCATTAAATTTCACGCATACATTTACACAAAACTGCCAAGATGGACAAATTAAATAAGATTTCCTGTAATTTGAGCAATTTTAATCGATTTTCCATGGTACATTCAAACCAGCTTCCTGAGTCTCGTGGAACGAAGGCAATTTCAGATAAATTGATTATTAGCTTGATGGTATTAAGAGGAATCAAAAGAAACAAATGATACAATTACAAACTGCTATGTTGTTAAGCAACGGCAACAACTGTCAAAATATTGATGACCCATTGTGAACTGGTTTAATGATTAAAAATAATCTCAGCCTTAAACTGTTTAAAATTTTCAGTGAAAGGCAGAGATTTTTCAAAAAGATCCCCATCGAAAAACAACCTAAACTGGTTCCAAACAAAAGCTCCGATCAAAACAGTTAACCGAAGCTCCCAAATTCAATCAGATCAAATCGTTCAAATTGCTACCAAAAAAATAATGATAATCCTATTAGAAGGCTCCTGAAAAGCAGGTCACAGAAATGCAATTTTATGACCACCCATGTCCAGTTATAAGCAGAATAAAAAACCATTCCTCCTAATCCCTCAAAATTAAAAAAAAAATCAAACGACCAAAACGTGCCGGGCACGCGAGTAACGGTACCACGTGTTCCATCTAACCTGTCCAATCTCATTAGAACACAACGAAGAAGTTAAGAAAAATTCCTTTCCCCCCATTCGCTTTCGATACAATCCCGTCGAAAAGCGAAAACCTGTCCTGAATAATAATAAAAAAAAAATCGAAACCTCCCCACTCATCTCGACAAGATTGCGTGCTCTCCCAACTGGTCCCAACCCATGTTCGATTTAAAATCCAAGAAGGAAAAAGAAGTGTGATGTAAACATCGAGGCAAAACAAAGCCCAAAAAGTTCAATGACTCCTCGTTCTCGGCACTCTCTCTCTCTCTCTCTCTGTCCCTTCCTCGTTTAAGATTGTACAACAGCAACAAAAAAGTCATTTTCGAAAGGTTCTACTTACTGCCGCTGACATGCGTGGAGGCACCACTGCTGGCACCGGATCCCAAGCTGGCATCGAATCCGTGTCCGTGTGAAATGGATTGTCCACCGCCGGAACTCACTCCACCAATAGCTCCACCAATGGCTCCACCAATGCCTCCGCCGATGGCACCTGCTCCGCTGGAGCCACCACGGTTGGCCTTGTACTTGATGAAGTAGACCTCCGGCTTGCTTGGTGGCAAAGCTGGCAGCTGTGGGATGTTGATGTCTCCCTGATCATCGGGCTTCTTCACCAGAACGTAGACGATAGTCTTCTCCTCCTGTTGAGCTTGCTGGAGAGCGATCTGGGCGGCCGATGACTGTACGTTCGGTGTCTTGATGAAGATGATCTTGTAGTGCTTGCGAGCAACGCCCTGGCTAATGATCTGCTGGGCACGAGTCTCCTCCGGATCCTGTGGTGGCACGTGCACGTAGATGTGCTTCTGAACTACGGTTTGCTGGGGAGCTGTCAAGCAGAATGTTTCCGATATTAAACAACCGCGTGGCGGATCGAGGCTGGAGTGATTACTTACCAAAGCTCTGGACTTGACTGGCTCCACCGGACACAACGGATCCGAATCCAGACGAATGACCACCATGACCACCGGACACAATGGATCCGAATCCAGACGAGTGACCTCCATGGCCGCCACCGCCGGACACAGCGGATCCAAATCCAGTCGATTGGAAGACTGGAGCGGCTTGGTACGATCCAGAAACTCCGAAGCTCTGCGAATGAACTACAGGAGCCGGTGCCTGGTAGTAGCCTCCCCCGTGGGAATGGCCTCCTCCGTGGGAATAGCCTCCGCCATGAGCCCCACCGGATGCCACAGCCGTTTGCACTATGGGACGGGGAGCCGGATAATTATAACCGTGAAGAGGGGCCTCCGGGCGGGCCGCAGCCATGGCCACACAAGCCAGAACCTTAACAGAAGAAAATAGCACATCTTAGAATCTCTCACAAATCACTCAACAATTCTTCATCATTGCACTCGAAAAATGTCCATAATATCAGTTCATTATCATTGCACTTGTTACGTTCACACCACTTACCACTAAGATCTTCATTCTTAACAGAACAACAAAAAAGTGACAACTAAAAATCACAAAACCGAGGCACTACCCGAAAAAGGAAAATTATCCAAAAGCTCCGATAGTCACTGGAGGAAGCTGATTCTCGAACTGAATATTGGAAGCATTGTTTGTATCGATAAATATAGGTAACTCCCCACCACCTCCGACTATGGAACCATCGTGGTCGCTGCAGCAGCCGCAGTCGCAGATGAGTCTCAAAACGACGACAAGAAGGAGATTTTCAGGAGAGCCCACCGAAAAAAAAACCAGTCCCCCAGAGCGCGACACAAAACGACCGAGTTGAAAGAAAGCACATGGTCCCTCTACCTACCTGCCGGAATGCCTTGCCGTCTCACCAACAACCAGAAGACGCAGAGCTTAGTCGAGCGATCACAGAAGGTGCTGATGAGAGCGACCGCCGACGATAGTGCGAGCGCGTCCAACACACTCGCATACACGCATTGCCTGCATCATCATTCGTCTTGTTGTGCTCTGCCCGGTGACAATATGCCGCAGCCAGCAGAGGAGAAGTGCGAGGGTGTGGCGTCCGGAATCGTCATCGTCGCTTCGGTCGCCCGGTGGAAATAGTTTCCGAGTTTTATGATGATAGGAAAATGAGCTTGACGAAACCTAAAAAAATATTCTTCTTCTTCACAAACGCACCCATACAGGCACGTGACAAATCGAACGGATTTCATAATCCTGCTCAAACTGACGATTTGCAAATAGTTATGTTTTGGCGCATAATTTCACACGCTTTCGTGGGGCGGCTGATGGCGGAATTGATTAATTTTATTACACAACGATTATGGCAAAATGTCAAACACAGTCCTGCCAATAACATGACATCATTACCGTAAGCTGGGAGCAATTTAAGACCCTTGCATGGGAAAGTATGAGCTGCACTGAATTATCGCAACGGACATAAATCAGCAGTTCACTTTGAATTCATGTTAAGAGGATTTTAATCTAGAGTGCTTAAAAATTTTCTATCTCAGAAAGGAACTATCCAGAAATGAAGACTGTTAGTGAGAAATTTTAACCTTTTCTCTCCCTGTGAAGACAATTATTAATCGCCTCTTTTAACTGCCTACGAAATTTATGGATAACCATAAAGACCCATAAAGCTTGAATAATTATGCAACGCATAACTCTCTTTAATGCTTTATGTTAACCTTGTGGCAGAGATAAACTAAATTACTCGCCTTAAATGCTCATAACTGAGTGCAATGTCAATTCTTCATTTACAGTTATATGATACCTAAGCGGCAATAAGGTCGTTACAAATATTTAAATGTATCTCTGGTAACGGCCTACTACTTTTTTCAGCATAATTCTAGATGGAGCTAGAATTAGGGCGTTAAAGCTTTTGATTTATTTCGATGATTTCTCAAAATTCAAGGCTCGCCAACGCAAATCAACACCACCCTAACCCTAACCCTAACCCGATCACAGGGATCAATTGAATCCTGCTTAAGATGCCGGATAGGGAGGAATAGTGTTTCAAGTAGGGGATAGTCGGAGTAACAGTAGTATTAGTAAAAGTTGGAAAGTAAACGTACAGAGCACCATGTTTTTCAATACCTGTAATTCTTGTTTTATGATTTCATTTACTTGTGTTATTGATTAGTTTAGTGATTGATAATGTACTTACATTTTGTTATCTACTTAGCTGCTAAAATCCGTGAAAAGGCTCCTCTTCGCTGTCTGGAGTCGAAAATCTTTCGAATTCCGACAATCGTACATCATCTTCCGTGTTTTCCGTGCTCACGGAATCTTCCGAATCTTCATATTCAGACTCGATAAGTGCGTTGAATATTTTCTATGTCGCCGTCTTGTATTCGCCACGGTTGTATGCCAATTCCCTCCAATGTGCCGCTGTTGTGTTGCTTCTTTCGAATTCCTGTTTGAGACTCGTTTTCCACGTGAAGTAGGGTCGTCCTAGTTTCTTTTTTCCATGCACGCGGTAATTGAGAGCTTTCCCTAGTATTCCTTGGGATGTGTTCCTTACCGCATATCCAAAGTAGTTTAGCCGTGCCACTGTAATTTTATTGTTGATCGTGTGGTTCCCCAGTTCTCTGACTGCCTTCTTGCGCTTTGTGAGTCATTGATAACAGTTTGTGGCGGTTGTTCTGGGCTTTAATTGGTGAATGCCTCAGGACGCTGTCTTGCTTCAAAACTAAGAGCCTTTAGAGCTGCGAGCATGGTGGTTACCATTCTACGGAGAGAATTTCTATTGCTTTTGAGAACAGTCGCAACTTCCATTGAGTAAGTCACGATCGGAGTTAATAATCTTGAAATACTGGACGTTTTGAATGACACATCTGGGACATCTGGGCTGATCTGGATCTTTACCACATTGGAAAGATGCACACTAGTGTTGTCAGATCAGTGTTGATGCTTACCAAAAGTGCATTTGAACCCGCTTATTAAAGCATATTAACAGATTAATCATCACCGTACATTGTTTATTGCTCTGTACTAATAATAAATGATTTTGCACAGCATTTGATATTTTAGTAGGAATGCTGGATCTAAATCGCAGTGAAAATCAATCTTTTATTGAATTGGATTTATTTCTATGGATTTGCACGTTTGGAAAGTATCATCACAAAGATTCTGCACTCGGTCTATAGCTTGTGGGCGGGAAGCGTTGTGTTTGTGTTTGTTTTTTTTTTTTTTTATCTATTTATAGAGTCAATTCTTAGAAATACGAAGCGAAAGACAAATCAAGCATTAAGCACATTATTATGGAGCCCTCCCCTTGGCTAGTTTTTAACCTGGACGTTGGTGGGCGGGCCTAATATTAAGCTTCATGCATGCGATGAGGATTACTGAGCTTCCCTTCTCTGATGAACCATTGCATGAGAGAACCAAAGTTCTAGCCTGAAGTGATAGTATCACATTTGTTACTTCTTTGTTTGAAAGCCGCGTTGTAGTACGCTTACGTATAGGCACTGACGTTGGGTACGATACTGGCTGGTTTTTTCCGCAAATCGCTCTTATTTTATTTATTTTTACACAGATGGGTTTGTAAGGGAGTTGTACTATTGAAGTATTTTAGAGGGTGCCCAACGGTGCTCCTTCTACTTGCGTGACGGGCTTTCATTGTTGTTTTCATTGAAGTATTCCTCAGGGAACAATGTTAAACACCATTTGTGTACATGGTATTGTAACTAATCTTATATGTGCTTCATTTTGATTTGGGATAAGTGTTTGAGCTAGCGGCACCGGTGGTGTAGCGGTAAGCGTGATTACCTCTCACCCCAGCAGCCCTGGGTTCAATCCCAGTCGGCGCTGTCGGGATGTTCTGGGGCATAACATCTCTGATCATGTCTTCCTTCGGAAGGGAAGTAAAGCCGTTGGTTCCCGGTCCATGAATTGATGGGTCGATAGGTAGGGTCCAGGTGTGGGAGCTGCCTTCCTGGCGTCGGTAGCATTGGTGCTCAGCACGGAAAACAAGATAGACGGAAAACAAATCAAGGAAGAAAAAAAAATGTTTGAACTGTGGCTCGGGATTTCCACTGTGGCTCGGGATTTCCACTGTGGCGTGCTTCTAAGTATTGAGACACACCCATACGTATTTTTGTGGTGCGACATAGTGGAAACGTGTGAGCGTAGTTGGAGCATATACCCTATGTAAGTTAAAAATCAGCAAGGAAATTAACTTCAAAGTGAAGCATTTTAGTCACTTGAAGGTGTCACCTGGGACGAACTGATATATACAGTCAAGATTCCTATAGTACGGTTAATAGGGACCGTACTATAGGAACCGGCATTAACGAATACACGTAGCATATGGGATTAGAGCTAATTGGGACCAAGCACTGATTGTACGGCAATTTGAAGAGATAACTTCCTGATGTCTTTTGAGAAGTTGTTAAGCCACCTTTTTGGGAGGATTCAGTTTCCGGTAGGACACAAGTCTGATCCTGTGGAAGATCCGGAATATCCGTAAAAATGGCCAATTCATGAAAATGATCCTAGAGCTCCGCGGATTTTTCGAAACCACTCATAAACGTCTTATCAGAATGAATTCGGAGTTGTGACCGACATATTAACCCTGGGGACCACGGTATAATTCACCGGAAGATCCGAAACATCCGTAAAAGTGATCAATTCATGAAACTGATCCTAGAGCTTTGCGGCTTTTTCGAAACCACTCATAAACGTCTTATCAGAATGTATTCGGAGTTGTGTTCGGAATATGGGCGCTGAGAACCACGGGATGGTTCACCGGAAGATCCGGAATATCCGTAAAAGTGGTCAATTCATGAAACTGATCCTAGATCTCCGCGTTTTTTTTAGAAACCACTCATAAACGTCTTATCAGAATGAATTCGAAGTTGTGACTGGAATATGGACCCTGCGGACCACGAGATGGTTCACCGGAAGATCCGGAACATCAGAAAAAGTGGTTAATTCATGAAACTGATCCTAGAGCTCCGTGAATTTTTCATACCACTTATAGACGTCTTATCAGAATGTATTCGGAGTTATGAGCATATTTTGGACTCTGGGGACCACAGGATGGTCCACCGGAAGATTCGGAAGATCCGTAAAAGTGGTCAATTCATGAAACTGATCCTAGAGCTCTACGAATTTTTCGGGACCACTCATAAACGTCTTATCAGAATGAATTTGGAGTTGTGACCGAAAAATTGACTCTGAAGACTATAGGATTGTTCACTAGAACATCCGGAACATCCCTAAAAGCGGACAATTCATGAAACTCATCCTAGAGCTCCGAGGATTTTTCAAAACCACTCATAAACGTCATATCAGAATGTATTCAGAGTTGTGACCGGAATATGGACCCTGGAGACTACAGAATGGTTCATCGGAAGATCCGGAACATCCGTAAAAGTGCTTATTTCATGAAATTGATCCTTGAGCTCCACAGTTTTTTTTTAAAAGCACTCATAGACATCTTATCACAATCAAATCGGAGTTTTGACCAGACAGTTTATATAGGGAACCACGGGATGGTCCATTAAAAGATCCGGAAGATCATTGAGAGTGATTACTTCATGAAACTGATCCTAGCAGGGCTGAAAAAATCACTGCAATTCA